AAAAAAAAAAAAAAAACTAGATTGAATTTAGATTCAAGTTTTACAAGAAATTAAGTACGAACTAAAATAAATGACCTGAAAATCATGCATTGATCGACGTAATGCAACTTGTATTCGCGGAAATGTACTCTGAAGTGAACGTTCCATTCCACGCATTGGTAAAACCCGTACTCCACCATAAACATATGTTAATCGATCACGTTGCCAAATATCTCTAAAATGTTCTTATTATTACTTAATTTATTCGAATGGATGAAGTATCAAAAGAATGATGATAATTTTGAGAAAACCTTAAAGAAATGACGACAAGTGAAAGTGAAATTCAAAAGCTTCTACTTTGAAATTTAATTAAAAATTAGAATTAATTAGCAGCAATATGAATACAGCAATCCAATTTTGACTAGAAAATAATTCGAATTTTAAAATATAATTTGATATAATTTTAGAATGGAAAGAAATAAATTATTTTATTAAAAATTCACTTTGGAGGATTTAAAATATTAAAGGCTGGGAATTCAAATTCCGCTTCACCATCAGAATCAGTGGGTGCACAAAGTTGTAACGTGTCCAAAATTCGTAGTAAATCTGCCGGATCCGCAATTTCTGGATATATTGGTGCAAAATCATCAATTGAGTAACAACCATTCATATGACACTGTGATAAAAATTCTGCAGAAAGGAGATTGCCCAATACATGAGTACCAAGCCATTCCGGTGATAGTACAACATAATCCAGTTCTGAAACCTCATCCCGTAGATAGACAACCTGAAAGAATTCATGTAATAATTTTGAGAAAACTGAATCTCTTTTTTAATTTCGCATCTTTGAAATAAATCATACAATAAATGGTCAATTCCTAGAAACTGATCATGTAATTAATGCAAATCATTAAACCTAATCATCACTCTAACATCTCATAACTTTTTCTCGATATCTCGCATTTTATTATTAATATTACTCTCATGTTTATCAACAACAATAATTATTTGATGTAAAGATAATACACTATTCCTACTTCAATCATTCATACACCCAAAGGAATTTAACAGTACGAAAGTAATGGCATTTGTAAGTTAATATTTATATGCTTGTAAGTTATAAATTATAAGTTTCTTTTTTCAAAATCATTTTGTCGTCTAAGAAAAAGTGGAAATGTAGGAATTAGTGATTTCTATCTTCAATAAAAGAAGGAGCTAACCTCGCCAATAAGTTGTAATTGCTGAATTAATTGTCTACAATGATTATCACCTGCTAGTGAATTCACCTCATTCCGTACTAAATTTGTAAAATGTGGCCATGTTATCACCGGAAAGAAGGTATGCTGCTTACGTATACCAACAATGTATTGTACAGTCATGTCCAATAAACCCAAAGGTTTTTGCAATCGCTGCAAATGAAGTGAACATTTTTTTTAAATTCATGAAATAGACTGATATTCGAAAAATAAAAAACAGAAACTAAAAAAGTTTGGATAATAGGTTTAGGCAATTTGATTTAATTTAATGCATTTATTGTAATTCGTCAAAGTGCATCTTTCGGTTGAGAAAAAAACGCGTTTCGAATATGCGCATTACTGGAAAAAATACTGCAATACTTGACCGGACCGGAAATCCTCCCGAAAAAAAACAACAGAATGACATACCGAAAGTATGGATTCGCGTGCTTTTGAAAGATATGCTTTGAGTGATTTCATCCCTATAAATGAGTATTAAATATTTAGTAATTTTCATTAATTCCATTTTCTATTCAACAACAGCATATCATTATCAATCACTCTCGATCTTTTTGATTGTCAATCCTCAAATTATCAACATCTAATCTTTGGTCATATTTAGTAAAGTTACACTGATGACAATCGTATCAGTGTACGAATAATTCAAATATCTGAATTACGAGGAACAATTCTGTTCAAAATTTCAAACTCAACAAGAAGAAAAAAACCTGGGCAATTATTTTGAGTTGAATTAAGTAGAATTAACTGATCGTGTATATCAAAATGTGTCTCAAAACGTAAACGAATAGTTTTCAGCATTGCGTCACCATCTGATGAAATGTAATCGCCATCGCTGTTCCGTTGCGGAAAAAGTGCTGGCGTCGCATGACTACCAATTATTATAACCTATATATAGTAACAAACAATGATGATATTTTAAAGGGAAAATTTTTTCATCAAAAAGTGCTGAAAAAAAAAAGTAAAATAAAATTAGAATAAAATCAGCAACTGCTAACTAATAATTGAAATTTTATTAATATGTTAGATTTTGTCAATCAGATTATTCGCTGATAATATAACTTGATTTACCATCTTTGCGTGACAAAAAAAAAAAAAATAAAATAAAATAAAATAACCGAAGACAAACATTTCAAGCTATACCATTCCTAACTATTCGATAACGGAATGGATGATTGTATGAAACGATTAAATTAAAATAAAAATTTCATAAAAATAAAAGTGACTACTAAAATTTATAACCAGCAAAAAAAAAACTACTTTGAAATCCCGGAATTCAATTTTACCCCAAAAAAATACAGCATTTATGAAGTGATTGTCACCTTGCTTCTTCGTGAAATGATTCCGCAATGTCCAATCGGTTCACTTGGTGTGACACGTCCCTTCAAGAAATTCATCCAATAAAGCACTTGTTTGTATTGTATCTCTGTCGGATCGGTACAACGATATACAATTACATGAACACAATCAGTATTACCAACAAAATGATCGTATGCCATATGATATGGTTCATAACCACCAAATTCCCACACCGAAAATTCACCACATCCTGAAATATGTAAAATATCAACATTTTATTCTAAAATTAAATTTGCAAAATACGAGAAATACTTTTGTTGAAAATTATGAAATTGCTAATATACTACATCCTAAATTTATTTTTTCATTTAAATTATTTCATAACATTACCAAAATCAAAGATTAATATG